GACCAGGACATAAGGGTGTTCAGGGACTCCAGGGGATTAATTGCCAAATTAATAGTTATTGGCTAAATACCACAGTTAATCGTGATTTTTTTTTTTGCCAATATCGCCCAACCCTAATCATGATTCTCATTTTCAAAGATTCAGAATCGATTTAAAATTTAAAATGTCCCAAACTTGATTAAAAAGAAAAGAAAATCCACAGGTTGTTCACGTCCATGTTGTACCTACCTGAGACGTCCTGACGTCTCATGCAGCTGCTTCTGGAACAGATGAACTCACAGAAAGAACCAAAACAAAGAGGAAACTACCAAACTGGAGGATAGAGAGATTTAACTGGTCCTGTCTTCATTGAATGTGAAGATTTGGGCTCATTTTGTTTTTTACTGAATGAGTCTGAGTTTGACCTCACTTTGTGTAAAGTTTGTATAATGAAGATGAAGAACTTTAGGAACACGATTAACGAGCTCACATTCAGATTTGAGTGAAAAAAAAATCAATTTTGAATCGAATCATGAGAGAGTAAAAGATTTCCACCCCTAAAAAATGATAATAAAATATATATATAGTATATGTATGCACTATATAAATTTGTCTAAGGTTCAACTTGACATACTTGACTGTAATTAGTCTTTTTACATGTATTAATTATGTTAAGTTTATAAGTTAATGGACCATAGAAAGACCCTGACCTGTGATAATGCTTTAAAACATATGTATGTGTTTTCTGTGACGATGTGATGCTGCAGTGTAGGCCCGGCCTGTCTGCAGCCATGATGTGCTGTCACCGCCCCTCCCTGTGCTCACGCTCCTGCTCCTACACTCTGGCTCTTGGCCTGGGCTTCGTYACGTTGGGCACCAGTCGCATCGTGCTGCTCAAGTTCTCTGCCAACGCTGGTTAGTGACGGCCGACACTACAGATCTGACATTTTAACAACAAAGATAAAAAAATATTCATGCATCAGTCGGTGTTTAACTTAGTTTTTCTGTTCCTTTCAGAAAACAAGTATGACTTCCTCCCTGCTTCTGTCAATCTGCTGGCCGAGGCCCTCAAACTGCTCTTCTGTTTGGTCATGTCCATCAGGGTCATAGTCCGAGGTAAATGTTCTTCCTCTGGTTTTWCTTGGATCTGAACAGAATCAGTAGATTTTTTGTTATATTTAAAATGTCAGTTCCATATAAAAGCTTCCCTTTTATTTTTTTTATTTTAGCTTACTCCAGCAAATTAAATCGTATACATGAGGATGGCTGCGTGGGCTGAAACACAATGTGCACGACTCAGAAAACTGCTCTGAAAGTTCGTTACACATAAACTGTTGTTTAAAAAACAAGCTGTGCAAACAGCTGCACAACTTGTGTTCCTTACAAACCTTTGTAAACTCCATGAGTGGGTTTTGTGTATTTTCTCACAATTTTCTTGGACCTTTGAGCTGAAACAGATCGTGGGGAGATTATTTCTCAACATGAACAGTAATTGATTTGTGCTCATTTTACAAGTTGTTGCTTAAATGATATGTCTGTAATAATAATATTAAAAAGCTTTTATTTTCCTCTGTGTTTGCACACCTGTTTTCAAAGAACAGGAATGATCTAGACTGGCCCAAAAGGTGTAACTTTAACATGAGTCTGAACTAAAGCAAAACTTGAATTTAAAATAAACATCTTCATTATATCTGTTACACACACATTACACACAAACACACACGTTTTTCACCTCTGGGTTCAGATTCTCTCATCAGGATCTAGTGATTGTTTTTTGACATCATCTCTAAATTTTAAATCTAACTCAGCAGGTTGAAGAAGTTGTGATGTTTTCTTACAAAAACCACTCTTCATAAGTTTTAGTCTTTTGTAAGAGGATGACAGCTGGTGAAGGAACTTTCTCACTGTTTGTTTAACTAGTTTGGTTTTCAACAACCAGGGCACAATGACACATTTATTTTAGTATGTTTGAATCTTCTCCATGGGATTTAAAATTTCTGAAGAGAGTTACAGTCCAGGAAGACACAGGTCAGTGTGGAAGTCTGGTTTTCTCTCATGTCCACCTTGTATTTAGCAAATAGCAGCAAATAATTTTAGTTGATTTTGTTGTCTAGAACAGTGATTCCCAACCAGCATGTTACAGGGGGTACAGTACATGGAAACATTTTCCAGGTGTGTAAATAAATAAATAAAAACAGCACTGGGATATGATGGTCCCTATGATTTCCACTATGAGGAAAATGCTGACGTTATTGACACATAATGGAATCCATTTGTAAGAAAAATACATATTCAATAAACTGAAGTCATTATTAAAACCACCATTGTTAAATAAACTGATTTTAGAAGGAATAAAACCAAACAACACCAGACGTCTGGATCTCAGTGAGGTTTAATGTTACTGGATCTGACAGGAAACCACACTGGTGAAAAACCAGGAAGTTCATCAATTTATACATGTTCTTCAATGCCTGTGTTCGCCCCCTACTGACCTACGGGTGAATCACAGGCATTCAGACAAAAATCTCATCTACTGTTATCATAACGTTTTAATTATGTGTTGTTATAATTCAAACATGTAACTAATCTATATCAATCAAAACATAATAAATTAAACATTGTCAACATTATAAAAAGGAAAACCTAAGAATATAGTGTTGTGC